GAGCTAGAAAAGGTCAATCAGCTCCAAAAATTCATGTTGCTTGCAGAGGGATCCACAAACAGAAAAAAAAGGGTAGTGTTGGTAGTTTTTTCTGGGGCCAGTTTGGAAACAGGAAACACAACATTTTTTTCCTAGGCCATTAGCAAACTTCAGGCTTGGATGCCGGTTGGATGATTGTCGGGCAGTGTCTAAGGGGTTAGGGAGTCCTCTGGTGGACGTGGAGGTTGGGTGCACCAGTGCACCTATTCCCAACAATGAATTTCGAGCCCTGGGAGGGAGCCAGAGAGTCATCAAGTGGACGTTTCAAGAGTCTGTTAACGGGAACCATCTGAGAAAACCGATTGTACAACGTTTCATCACTCAGTGTCAGATCTTTGCCATGGAACTAGAAAAGGTTGATCAGCTCCAAAAATTCATGTTGCTTGCAGAGGGATCCACAAACAGAAAAAAAAGGGTAGTGTTGGCAGTTTTTTCTGGGTCCGGTTTGGAAACAGGAAACACAACATTTTTTTTTTTAGGCCATTAGCAAACTTCAGGCTTGGATGCCGGTTGGATGATTGTCGGGCAGTGTCTAAGGGGTTAGGGAGTCCTCTGGTGGAGGTTTGAAAAGTCTGTTAACAGGAACAGTCTGAGAAAACTGATTGTGCAACGTTTCATCACTCAGGCGCCAGGTCTTGGCCATGAGAGCTAGAAAAGGTCGATCAGCTCCAAAAATTTATGTTGCTTGCAGAGGTCCACAAATACCAAAAAAAGGCTAGTGCTGGCACTTTTTTCTGGGGCCAGTTTGGAAACAGGAAACACAACATTTTTTTTCTTAGGCCATTAGTGAACTTCAGGCTTGGATGCCGGTTGGATGATTGTCGGGCAGTGTCTAAGGGGTTAGGGAGTCCTCTGGTGGACGTGGAGGTTGGGTGCACCAGTGCACCTATTCCCAACAATGAATTTCGAGCCCTGGGAGGGAGAGAGTCATCAAGTGGATGTTTCAAGAGTCTGTTAACGGGAACCATCTGAGAAAACCGATTGTACAACGTTTCATCACTCGGGCGCCAGGTCTTGGCCATGAGAGCTAGAAAAGGTCAATCAGCTCCAAAAATTCATGTTGCTTGCAGAGGGATCCACAAAACAGAAAAAAAAGGGTAGTGTTGGCAGTTTTTTCTGGGTCCGGTTTGGAAACAGAAAACACAACATTTTTTTTTCCTAGGCCATTAGCGAACTTCAGGCTTGGATGCCGGTTGGATGATTGTCGGGCAGTGTCTAAGGGGTTAGGGAGTCCTCTATCTGGTGGACGTTTGAAAAGTCTGTTAACAGGAACAGTCTGAGAAAACCGATTGTGCAACGTTTCATCACTCAGTGTCAGATCTTTGCCATGGCAAAAATTTATGGAGCTGATTGACCTTGTCTGTTTTTTTGTGTTTTTTTTCCCTGTTGCTTCATATTATTTTTTTCATAAAAAAACTCTGAGAACCAACAAATCAAATTGGTGTGGCATACGTCAGCTTGTCAGAAGAACAGAAGATGAACACAAGTCTGTTTCCACGATGATGACTTGTCTGTTTTTTTTCCCGTCGTTCATATTTTTTCCAAAAAAATTCTGAGAACCAGCAAATCAAATTGGTGTGGCCTTATGCCAGCTTGTCAGAAGAACAAAAGATAAAGACATTCAAGAAGAACACAAGTTGTGTTTCCACGATGAGTTTTTTTCTCCCCTGTCGCTTCATATTTTTTTCTCAAAAAATCTGAGAAACAACAAATCAAATTGGTGTGGCCTACGTCAGCTTGTCAGAAGAACAAAAATAAACACGAGAAGAACACAAGTCTGTTTCCACGACGATCACTTGCTTGCCAAGAACCCTACAGGCTGCCTCTGACCTCTACAATTCCGACTGACCTTGGAGAGTTTTTGATTGGTTCTTTTGGGATCGGGTCTTTTCAAACGGGAGTGTTTCTGTTTGAGCCAGAGTGGTCCCCCGGTTTACCTGCGCGTGTGAGGTGGTGCGAACTCTGATTGCCTTTCTAGTAGGACTCAGCTGTAAATCAATACCTTTAGGCCACACCAATTTAATTTGTTGGTTCTCGGATTTTTCAGAAAAAATATTAAGCGACAGGAAAAATAAAATAAAAACAGGTCTGGGCATCCTATTATAGCCCCAAATGCTACAATAAGTCAAAACAAAAGGCTGGGTTGAATTTTGAACTTTTAATCAAACCGCTACATTGATAGATGGTAAAACTGTACGAAGAAAAGGACTTTCCTCAATTGTTGGGGGCAAAATACGAACATTTTCAGTTGATAACCAGAATCTTTTTTCTTTTTTGAAATCAAAAAAATATGAAGAGGCAAATCCGTGAACTAACCAATTAAGTTGGTGTGGACTTAGTTGGAGTCTCCCGGATTCTCCTCCTGTGTTAGCGTATCTCTATCATCCATGCAGGGTTCTCACCAGGATTTTTTCACAGCGTAGGGGTCAGGGCAACAGAAGGGCAACTTTCTGCGGCCCAAGTCGCACATTGAGTCCCAAAAAAACATGACCACAGCAGGGGGTCTGGTATTCTCCACCAAAAATTTGTAACTTGTAACACTCTGAGACACTATTTC